CCTGAAAAAATATCAGATATTATGCTATAAAATGTCAAAAAATCAAAAGAGTTACTCTGATTAAACATTCAATTCCAGATGAAATACAGACCATGGAATGATAGACATGAGAAATCTGAAATGTCAAAAGTCAAGAAATCAGAAAAGAAACGAGAAATCTGAAACCTTCATCATCTAGCAACAAGAAAATTCACCAAACACACCACACCTGTAAGCATCATATCTACACAACACAACATGTTTAGCACCAAGGAACATCTCAAAATGCCATTTATTATAATGGAAGTAAAAATCTTTCAAGTGCTAACATCTACTTACAGATGCAAAAATGATCTAACCATACTGTCTCAAGACAAACTGTGATCAGGTGGACCTCACCATGGTGTAAGCATTGTAACTACAGCACTCACAGTGACCTGTGAAATAAGCAAGTTTATTACCTACGAGGGCGAAAATATCAGGGTTCGTATTCTTTATATGATGCCCTAGGGTAAAATATGACTTTGTCATGGTCGACGTGACGTCATAAACAATGCTATGATGTCACGTTTCTTCTGTGACGCTACATTCTACATGCAGCGACGGCGGGGTAGCCAGCCTATGTTTGAAAGTAGATTTGGGTTTATTTTCCTTAATTTGACGACTTTGGTACTACAGAATATTATATTCGTGCCCATATCATACTATGTTTACGACACTCGTGCCTAAATATCCGTGTATCCCTTGCTCTCGCTCGGGAAATACCAACATTTAGGTACTCGTGTCGTAAACATAGTATGACATCGGCACTCATATAATATCCACTATATTCATAATGTAATGCCAAGATTTCTGCCATGGTTCATTGGCTGAAATAGTCACATGTCACTCGACCACTTGAAAGTAATACATACTCCATATCAGGTCAGATTTTCACAGTATTGACTTGAGATTAAATATAGAATGTGAATAACTGAAAGGGGTACTCCCCTAACTAAGTTAATGTTTGTCGGAACCTCCGTGTTTATTGTTGTTTAATGCCACAGTCAGCAAAATTCCAGTTATATGATTGTGGTGAGTCTGGACCAGACAATCTAGTGATTAACATCAAGAGCACTGATCTACACGATTGGGAGACAATGATATGTGTCAACCAAGTGAGCGAGCCTGACCATGATATAGTGTAAGTCACCCCTTATGACAAGCATGGGTTGCTGAAAAACAATTTTGACGTATTTCTTCACACGCTGGAACTTCCTAATGTTATTAAAGCTAACATACTGGCAAACAAGGATAAGTTGAGCACTGGCCTGACAACTGACCCGTATTAGCATGTACGAGTGCCGCCCACTGGTGCTTGCCATTGTTAGCGAAGGGACCCCAGGCGTATATCAATTTCATCATCATGCAATGCACATGCACTAGCCTACATCTGCTCTACCTTTCACAAACCAAATGGGTTTGCTCATTGCCATGCACCACCTACTTCTCGTAAACGTGTTCTCTGTGCCGTTCCAACTTATCCTTGTTTGCCAGTAGTTTCATATGTTAATTCAACTTTTTAATCTTTAATTATTAAATCAAACAAGTACATACTAGGTCAATTAGTCTGTAAATAATTAAGTATGGACCAGACAATCCAGGCATTGATATCACGAACATCATTCTACATGGGGCATGATGACATGAATTAAACTGAGCCACAGAGTCGCCATTCATGGCAAGCATGGGTTGCTGAAGACCAATTCTAACCTGGATCTCCACAGGGGTCACTTAAGTCCTTGCGATACTACAATGTCAGTGGTACATAGGCTAAAGCTCTTAGTGAGTGAGTGAGTGAGTTTAGTCTTACGCCGCTTTTAGCAATATTCCAGCAATATCACAGCGGGGAACACCAGAAATGGGCTTCATAAAGCTCTTTGAGAAGCACACAAAAGCAATATCAGTAACACCTGAATAGTTCTGAGAGCAGAGATATAAACTACTGATGAAAGGGTGTAAGAAAAACAATGTGTCCTATATTTCCAATCAGGAAACAATATACAGAAATCCATCACACAGATCAAAGGGGTTACAAAAGCATAGAAAATTGCCTTCACTGATACTGATACTTGTAAATGCCTCATGAAGATAAATAGTTTGCTATCATACAATCTGGAAATACTATGTTCTCTAATACTACTAATTGTGTGTTTAAATAAGACAATACTATACAAACTAAAACTACTGAAAGACTCAACATAATCCGTGCAAACGTTTTCCAGACATTAAAAGGAAAACAGATATGCTGACTATTCTTGTTCATTTATTTCTGAGTTTCTGAAAATGATTTATTCTGAAATGGCACCACATAAACTTATTTTCTATGTAACAGTGAAAGCTTCTCAAGTCAAACACTGTTAATTCAATGTCTGGTTTAAGAAAATGTAACATAATTGTTGAGATAAATCATGAGCCGCATGGAAGTACATGTTGTGTATAATGATGACAATTTGCTTGTCTCGATCTACAGGTTCATACTAATCAACATTTGATTTCAAATTCTGAGTTAATTTCAGGACTGAATAATAATGTCGCTTGTCATACTCAAAGTATCCGACGCTTTCCTGAAATACATTTTTCAGCTTGATGTCAGCAAAGATTCACATTTTGGGAAAATAATTCTCTGAGATTCTTTCCACTAGGTCTGGTCTTGGTCTCCTTATCTAAAGCTGAGTAGTATATATTTGATGGTCCTTTGGACTCTGGGTCAACAATAATTTACTTTTTAAAAAGTAACTACAACTTGTACTCATAACAAAACAAGTGACTTATAAAATGCCATTATGCAGCGCATCAGGGTGTAATAATGATAACAACCTATATTTAGAAACATCATGTATTCCATATATTTCATATGGGAGACACAATCAAATGTCGCTCACAGTTACAGAACCAGCAAGTACAAAATACTTTGACATTGGTTGTTTTCTTAAATGAAACTGATTCTATCAGAAAACAAAAGCAAGCTGCCGTACATCTTTCTTCAAAATACTGGAACTATTAACATGTTAATAGTCCTTAATTGACACTAACTGCATAATCGATGTATGTAGTAGTATTCTAAATCAACACTAAACGTCTCAATAGTAAAATCGCCTAGCATCTGTCAGCTACAGTGAAACACCATTGTACAGAAACCTTTCCTTCCTGTTTACAGTGGACGCATCTGTATGCATGTTAAGCCAGCCGACAATGGAGACTTGAATACCTTGCTTTCACTGCATCATATGTTTCATAGCATCCCTAAATTCATCTGGTTAAAGGACTAAGAGAGAAAATTGTTGGTTGTTTATATACTCCCACCCCAACCCATCCAACCCTCCCACCCAAGTATGCTTCCCCTCCTTCCACACATACCCCACCCTACCTCCCACCCCACCAAAGTACCCACATACACCCTCCCCCCTGCCACCTCCCACAATCACTCTACCCCTTCCCCACACAGGGTATCTACACACATACTACCCCACCACACACACTATCTTCACACACACACACACTCTATCTACACACACTCACACCTCTATCTACAGACACACACCTCTATCTACACACACACACACACACACACACCCTCTATCTAGACGAACCTCTTCTTACACCCACTGATAACGTTTATCCCATACTTTAACCTAAATAATCATAAACTGTGGTTTATGATGGGATAAAACCTTGTTACTCTGGATGGCAGCATTCTCAGTGGGGTAACACCCATTCGTACATACCAACATAATAACATTCCCAACCAGACAGCCACAAGGTGAGGTTTCCAGATAGGGTCCAGATTGATGACAGATCAAAGTATACTTTAACACAAATTAGAAAGAGTATAGAAAATATACATGTAATGACTTATAACCATAATATTAGTAGAAGCCTATATTCAGTGATCACTGTGACAACAGTGGCAGATTGTTAGTAGTACATGTATAAATATTGGTCAACATTTTGGAAATTAATCTTTGGCAGTGACTGAGACAGGGGTAGAAAAAGGTGTATCTCCATGGAGACATGAACTGTCCTCAAGTCCTCCGACATAGACGTCATATCATCAAACAACTCTTCAGGAAATAACATCCTTGAAGTGGTATAATACATGTAAGTCAGAAGTCAAAGAGTCCCTCTGATTCGCCCCATAATATGTGGTTATTAAATAAGCTGTCAAGTTTGAAATAAACCAGACCAGTTCGGTTGTATCATGACACATCAGTTGTGTAGTTAGTTGGTTTCGTCCAAGGAGAAGTCCACACACCAATATTTATGTCTGTCAGCATGTACTGAGCCTTATGGCATGTATATGGTTGATTTAGTATGCTGCAGTTATCACCATGGAATATTTCTTCACTCAATAACATAAGTCATAACTTGATACATACAGATTATATGGCTTTTTTCTTACATTGTTCTTACAGGATATTTACATACCGTACCCATCACAAAAAGTTACAGAATTCTTTCATGTTAATATAGTTAAATGGTCATGCTATGTTGTGACAGATACACAACACTAACTTGACTGAATTGCATGTGCTTTAACTTCTTTTAAGTGGTATATATTCAAAACGCTGATTTATAATAATAATAATAGTCCATTTATATTGCGCGTTTATCCATGCACATTGCATGCTCAAAGCGCTGACATATTACCCCTGGTCAACGAGTACAGAACACTCCATGTGGAGAATACAACCGGTCGCCTGTCAGGCACTCAAGGTTCAAATTCAGACTACCATCGTATCATACCAGGTACCCAATTTTACTGCTGGGTGGACAGAGGCAATTTTGAACAAACTCACTTGCCTAAGGTGAGACCACATGTCACACATGTGCTTCGTTGTGGGGCAGGACTGAAGTCCTAGAAACTTTCAGGAGTCAAGCTGCCAAACACTGTCACCCATCAGAGGACTGTCCGCGACCAACGTTGCTTAACTTCAACTGATTGTGACCTGAGCTCTACGCACAGGACCACACACCGCCACTTTTATTTTTAATGTTAAGGATACAACAGTATATTAACGCTGTTCTAAAGATAAGATATACATTGCAGCTACCTCTGAGAATCCTCTTGACTTAAGTATATTAATACCAAATAGTATACCATGTTCAGCCCAGCCTGGCAAAACCCAGACTATAAGGTGGAGAAAATATAACCCTGATGGACGAGGATGAGACGAACACCTTCAGAACTTGTCACTGTTCCTCTTGATCACCTGACAGAAAGGTTGGTTCTCATACTCAGTATGGACTCTGCAAGGCTAGGTGAGATCTTGTAGATCCCTACTTCGTGTAAGGCAGTTTTAGGGTCTGCGGACTTGGCATTAGGGTCCTTCTTGGCTTCATGGAGGGCTGAGTGCAGAACCTCCTTCAGGAGGATGGCGGAGCCGGTTTTAATGTCAGTAATGTACAGGCTTCCTTCACTCTGAAATATTTAGAAGGAAATGAGTTTGTTTCAATTTTAGGCAAGAGGGAGTGAGTTGTGTTTTACGCCGCTTCTAGCAATGTTCCAGCAATATCACCACAGGGGACACCAGAAATAGGAGTCACACTTTGTACCCATGTAAGGAATCGAACCCAGGTCTTCGACCGCCCCCAAAGGCAAGAACAAAGTGTGACTTTCAGTTACTCTAATGACTCAGATGTGACTGATAGCATTAGCAACAACCAAAACCATTGGGCGCAATGACACAACAAGTGTTTGCCACTAATATGGCAATGTCCCTGGCCACTAAAGAATGGAATATTTATAACACATTTGCTACTTTTTATTTTTTGGTCACATACAAGATGCCTGAAAAATGACTGGTGTCTGCATAATCACCCAAGTGAGGCTGTCGACATAATTGAAGACATTGGGTACAACAGTTCATGAGATATTGCGTTAACAAGAGTTTCAAAAGTGGTCAAAGTGCCGTGGTGACCTTGAAGATAAGGTCAAGGTCACCCTAATCAACTGGTGTCTGTGTAATCCCCAATGTAGGCTGTCACCAAATTTGAAGACATTGAGTACAACAGTTCATGAGATATCGTGTTAACAAGAGTTTGAAATAGTGTTGTAAAGTGTCGTGATGACCTTGAATATAACAAGCTGAAGGTATAACTGGTAACTTCCTAATCCTCACTGATCTGCACATGAAACACAAGTGACTCTTTCTACACAAAGGGCACCTGATAGGTCACTCACTCTCTGAAGTAGGTGTCTGGTTTGTTGGTGAACTCGCCAAACAGTGGGAAGAGATTACGAGTCATATCGAACTGAAGCTGTGCTGCTCCCCCTTCATTGAAGTGGTTGGACAAGATCACCTGAAACAAGACCACAAGGTCAACACAGTCACTTGTGTTAGAGGTTCTTTCAAATAGTCTGTAAGTTATATCATATCATGCCAGTTTAATGTGTCATAGATGCATACCACTTTTGTGAAACATGGAACAAAGTTGACAAAAAGAGACACAGTTAGCAAAGGAATGTTAGCATTCAAATCCCCAACCAGAAGATCCTGGCAGGGCTATAAGGGACACAACTCTGCAACAATCACTGAAACTGATAATGCAGAGATATCAACCCTAAATAAAGCTTTCATAATATGGGTGAAAAGCATAAGTTTGAAAAGCATGATGAGGTGGGTTTTCACTTTGACATGTTAGGTCTTGATGTAAGTGAAGCAAGTAGTATAGAAGAAGTTCCCTGTTTGCACGAGCACAGATCCATCAGGTGCGCTAAATGTACCTTAACAATGAGTGAGTGAGTGAGTGAGTATGGTTTTACGCCGCTTTTAGCAATATTCCAGCAATATCATGGTGGGGGGACACCAGAAATGGGCTTCACACATTGTACCCATGTGGGGAATTGAACCCGGGTCTTCAGCGTGACGATCAGACGTTTTCACCATTAGGCTACCCAACCGCCCCACTTTAACAAAGATCAGATATCTTGTAACACAAAGTAATGGATATATTCTTACCATCTTAATTGAAAACATGGCTCTTATTGGTCAGGAAAGTCCCAATGTAATGACACCTGTCACTGTTCAGTAACAATAATATGCTGAGTAAACAATTTGTCCCAAACAGCCCCTGTTGTAATTTTGAGAGGACAAGAGTACCAACGAAAAGTTAGTCTTCAAATCATAACCACTGCACCAAAATCTTAACGGATGGCATCTTTGAAAATGTGCAGTACCTCATCAAGGATGAATTTATTTATTTTCTCTGCCAACCGCTGCCAGAACTTGTGGAACAGTGGCTTGCTGAGGAGGTCCTCCATGACAGCCAGATGATCCTTGAGGACGAGCAGCATCTCACAGGCTGAGGCTGACAGACCCAGCGTGATCATCAGGTCTTTCTGGGATGGTAGAGAAATCCATCTGCAACAGAGATTCATCAAACTGGGGACTTTGATGTGACAAGCAAAGGTCCACTTTGCCAACCTGTCTGGCTGATGAAGCAAAGCCTAAAGGTACACTCTGCCCACTTGTCTGGCTGACGAAGCAAAGCCTAAAGGTACACTCTGCCCACCTGTCTGGCTGACAGAACAAAGTCTAAAGGTACACTCTGCCCACCTGTCTGGCTGACGAAAGCAAAGCCTAAAGGTACACTCTGCCCACCTGCCTGGCTGACGAAGCAATACAAAACATCAGTCCTATCTCTCACCTGTCCTTCCTGTAGGGCTGACTCCTGGCGTGGAAGTCAGTGAAGACATAGCTCACACTGTTCTTCAACATGTCCACCTTGAGGGACTCAAACAGATCAGTGATGTCATCAAACACGGTGGTGTTCAGAGTTGGCAGGTTGCTGATGTCAAGGTCCTCACTCAGCTGGACATACAGAAACAATGACTTGAAATCGACTTTAATGTCATGTTCATGAGTGTTTCAATCACATAGCGTTGTGCAGCCAGGTGCATATGTGGCTATTTGCATTAGTCTGGATTTACGTTGTTTTTATGGGACACCAAGCACAGATGCATTATATGGACTCCCAGCTTGTTTTAACCACCTAATGATGAGCATGACTGACTGACTGACTGAGTTTGGTTTTACGCCGCTTTTAGCAATATTCCAGCAACATCACGGCGGGGGACACCAGAAATGAGCTTCACACATTGTGCCCATGTGGGGATTCGAACCCGGGTCTTCGGCGTGACGAGCCAACGCTTTAACCATTAGGCTACCCCACCGCCCCTAATAATGAGCATGCACCAGACAGGGTGACATCAAGTACCGTCAATGTCATTTGGAATGTCTAGGCAAGGACTAATGTTGTCATGGATGGCATTTTCGTGGGTTCAAAATTTGCTTTTTGTGGACTATGATCTTAACTGCTTTGACTTGTGTTTAGAAGTAACTGCCATTCTGATTAAGTGGACCAAATGGCCAAAGCAAGAAGGCTTTGAGTTGTTGCATTTTTTAATTAAGGGCACAAGGGGTGGTAACCAATACCTTGCTGGAGTCTGCGGACTGGCTGAGGGAGAGAGACCGGGGTCGGTCACCTTTTGCTTTACTCTGTTTCTCCTTCTTCATCCTCTGGGAATATGTGGATTTTTGATACATTAGCTGGATAAAAAACTGAAACAAAAACAGATAAAACAACTACTCAGTCATGTTAAGAATACCGTGTCTGTATGATATTACGCCACATGCCAAAACATTCCAGCAATGTCACAGTATGGGCCACCAAGAACAGGCCTCGCACTTTGTACTTAAGTGAGGAATCTGGACAAGTAAAGGATCTACAAGGGGCGGATCCAGAGGCTGGGTGCCTTTGGACTTTATGATTTACATGCACACCCCTACTCCAAAATTCTGGAGAAGATACGCTACAAATTTTGTGCACAGTGAAGGTGAATCAAAGTGAGAGCCATACTGTGAGGTCATGAACACTGAAACAAGATATCTGAAAGGAGCACATGTAATTTGGCAAGGAAATTGGGTAAGTTATAGTTTTGTGTACTCAATTATTGTAGATGTCTATAAACCTGTACTTCACAGGAATTGTCTCACTCCACTCCTAAACAACCTCTCCAACATAGTGCACTGTGTTGAGTATAGCACAGAAGCAGCTCCCTACAGGGTTATCTACAACACTTACCACCGTCTCACTCCACTCCTGGAGGACCTCTCCCACATAGTGCACTGTGTTGAGTATAGCACAGAAGCAGCTCCCTACAGGGTTATCTACAACACTTACCACCGTCTCACTCCACTCTTGAAGCACCTCTCCCACATAGTGCACTGTGTTGAGTATAACACAGAAGCAGCTCCCTACAGGGTTATCTACAACACTTACCACCGCGTCTCACTCCACTCCCTCTCCCACTGCACCTCTGTGTGCACTGTGTTGAGTATAACACAGAAGCAGCTCCCTACAGGGTTATCTACAACACTTACCACTGTCTCACTCCACTCTTGAAGCACCTCTCCCACATAGTGCACTGTGTTGAGTATAGCACAGAAGCAGCTCCCTACAGGGTTATCTACAACACTTACCACTGTCTCACTCCACTCTTGAAGCACCTCTCCCACATAGTGCACTGTGTTGAGTATAGCACAGAAGCAGCTCCCTACAGGGTTATCTACAACACTTACCACTGTCTCACTCCACTCTTGAAGCACCTCTCCCACATAGTGCACTGTGTTGAGTATAGCACAGAAGCAGCTCCTACAGGGTTATCTTACTCCACTGTACACTTACAATAGTGCACTTACCCACTCAGGGTTCTACACACCACTCTTGAAGCACCTCTCCCACATAGTGCACTGTGTTGAGTATAGCACAGAAGCAGCTCCCTACAGGGTTATCTACAACACTTACCACCATCTCTCACTCCACTCCTTAGTGCACTGTGTTGAGTATAGCACAGAAGCAGCTCCCTACAGGGTTATCTACAACACTTACCACCGTCTCACTCCACTCCTGGAGGACCTCTCCCACATAGTGCACTGTGTTGAGTATAGCACAGAAGCAGCTCCCTACAGGGTTGTGTGTCTCCTGCTTCATCACTTGCACCACACGAACACGGAAGTCCTCCAGTAGCTCAAGTTGCAGCCCAAGGAAGCGTAACTTGCTGCTTACATCAGGCAGTGGCTTGTACCGGTCTGAAGATGACAAACACATATTTAACATCTGAATGCTACAAAAAGAAGTATGAGGGCTTCTCTAGGGGTTCCGACTTTGTGATGTGTGAGTTACCTGTGATGGTGAGGAGGAGCGTCATGAAGCTCTCCCCACACTCAGGCACCTTCAGCTCGTCCACGTCAGTGATGTCCTTGTACTGGGACTGCCAGGCTGTGGGAGACGACAGCATTGCCTCAATCTTCTGTATGGCAACTGAAACACAAATAATGCATGTGCCCAATATTTCCTTCCACATTATGCAACAATCAAACACAACATAACAGTTAACACATAACTGACCAGTATTTCAAGAGTATATTTGGGTACAAAACAAGTAATTCTTCCAAATTATCACAAGCAGTGTGTGAAATACTTCCTAAATTATGCTAGCCAGTCGGGCTAGCTATGCCTGAAAGGTACTTGCCCACAAAAATTTCACTAGCTTTGAATGTAGACACTGGTTTCTTCATTAAGTTGAATGTGATGAACACATGGTTTCTTTCATTAGTGTATGCTAATATGATGAAGTGATATTTTATCACAAAATTCACCAGCCAGTCAGGCCAGTAACTATGGAGATTTACTGGCCTGGCTGGCTTTTTACTAGCCACCAGGCTAGCGGGCCAGTGGCTATTTTGCACTCTGATCACAAGGTGTCCTGTCAAACCCTGTACAGTACAACCAGAAATTATTGAGAATTTAAAGATTGTAAATTTTTAAATATTTTTCACTCATTACTCACGTATTAAATGTGAATATTATCAGAACATAACTCCAGATACAAAGACAGGTGAACAGTTAGTATTTTGTCAAGTCTCCATGGGCAGCAATGCAGGCTTCAATGCAGCGGGGCATACTACTGATCAAAGAAGTTAGAAAGTCGTTGTCCATGCTGTCCCAATATCGGACCACCTCTTCTTTCATTTCAGCAATATTTGTCAGATTTTTCTTATTGACACTTTCCTTCATAAGTCCCCAAACATTTTCTATTTAGGTCAGGGCTATAGCTTGGCCAATCTAATAATGTCATATTTTATGGACATTATTATATTTTGGGTCCAAAACCAGGCCTGTGAATGCTTTGAACGATGTTTTGGGTCGTTGTCCTGCTGGAAAATCCAAAATGAGCAGATGGAAGTAAATGTCCCTCGAGAATATCTGTGTACCGCTCACTGTTCATATTCCCTTCAAATACACAGAGGGGCGTTGCCCCTAACTCTGATATGCCACCCCACACGTTAAATTTTGGACTGTACTTTGGGCGCTGATACAAAGGTTTTTCAGTTTGTTTGGTCCAGAATTTCAGTTTATTAGGAAACAGCCACACCGAACTTTCATCTGAGAAAATCACATTGTCCCAGTTAAAATTTCTATGCTGTAAGCACCAGTTCAACCTTCGCTCCTTTTGTTCAGATTTTGAGGTTGGTGAAATAATTCCTAGACTTTTCTACCAACCCATTGCATGCAGCTCAGTTCTAATTGTCTCCTTACAGACAGCCACAGTTCATCTATCAATCATATCCAGCCTTAAGTTTTCTAAACTCCTTCATTTGTTTTTAGAAACAAGAATACAATACCAAGCCGCCTCCTGTCACCGACAGTCAATTGTCTTGGCCTACCTGCGCCTCCCTGGTGCTCAATGCCATATCCATTTGCAATATTGTTCAAAACACGATAAACAGTGGACAAAGGGATGCTTGTTCTACTTGAAATCACTTTAACTGATCTGATGTCCTTGTTATAATACTCTAAAATCAACTTCCTCTTCTCTAAATCATCCATACTGAGGATCACTGAAAATGTCGTCTGCTAGCAAGTAAACAAAGGGGGATAACTCTTCACAAACTAATGAAAAAGGATTAACGGAGTTGAATCTCTTGAATGAAACCAAGCACTTGATAGCTGGTCAAGGTTGTTTATACTAGAAATCAAATTAAACATATTCCTAAAATTCTCAATAATTTCTGGTCATACTATAACACTAACTATTGAAGTCTGTTCCTTTGCACTGGCCCTGTCATCAGTAAAATACATGTCACCTTCAAAAACCATAACAATACCTAGTACCTATAATTATAACACATCTTTTAACCACACTGGGAGCTGAACCCAGTTCTTTGGTGTGATGAATTGGGGAAAAGTCTAATTCCAACTGGGGAACCTTTTAGCTGACATTTTCTGTAGAATTGGGGCTGAAAACTACTTGTAAGCAGGTCTAGCAAAATCCCTGTGATGATGAGTGAGTGAGTGAGTTTAGTTTTACGCCACACTCAGCAATATTCCAGCTACCGGTATATGGCGGCGGTCTGCAAATAATCGAGTCTGGACCAGACAATCCAGTGAGCTGCTGATGATGATGATGATGCAACTTACACCTCTTCTCTATGATAAGCCACTTGTCGATGGCCTCGCCTGAGGACAGCACATGGAGACAGCCGGGCTCTGTGCTAGGGTAGTTGTAGGTGAGTCTCAGCTCCTTGTCAAAGAGCAGGGCCTCGTCCACCATGTGGGAGAAGAAGTGTTCATCATACACCAGCTCCGGGAGGTCATTGACCATCTTCTCCATTACCAGTATCACCAGGCCACGCATCAACTCAACCTGTCAACAGGAAGGTTGTAATGCCAATCAGATTTTTACACTCCAATTCTAGAAACGGAATCAGGGTTATGGTAAGACCTACATTTTGTGATTGGAGTGAAAATAGAAACACGAACGTTGCAGCCGGATTTGCCATTCCATAACTTTGCCCTTGACATCAATTCTAGAAACAAGATCACAGTAACTGTAAGGATTACTTTTTATGATGGAAGTGTGAGTGTGAGTGAGTTTAGTTTTACGCCGCACTCAGCAATATTCCAGCTATGTGGCGGCAGTCTGTAAATAATCGAGTTTGGACCAGACAATCCAGTGATCAACATCAGGCGCATCAATCTACCGATGACATGTTTCAACCAAGTCATTGAGCCTGACCACCCGATCCTGTTAGTCACCTCGTACAACAAGCATGGGCTACTGAAGCCCAATTCTAACCCGCATCTTCACGGGTCTTGTGATGGAAGTAAAAATAGACCAAGATCATATATATATATGTATGAATATATATGAATGATAAGACTGGACACAGCATCTTTGGATATGACAATTGACAGTTCTTGGAAATCACTGTCATCACGCCATGGCAGGCCAAAGGGACACAACTCTGTTTTTTAATATCGATGATAGAAATAGAGACAATATCCTTGGATATGGTACATGATGGTACACTGACTGACCTTGGCATCGAGGTTGTCATGGCCAGCCTCCTTCAGCAAGGGTTGGATGTTCTTCAGGAGGAAGTCATTGTGGTCTCGGATCCAGCTCAACACTTGGGTGAAGTACCACTCCGGCTACAAGGACGAACACAAACATGACTGCCTGGAACCTTACAGATCAGTGCAATTCTCCATGATCATGTCATGCACATGTTGTAAATTTGGCTGCAACCACCCTTACCTTGCTGATGGGTTAACCTCTTTGAGCATGTTGGTTGAATGTTTGTTATTTAACGCCGCACTCAGCAATATTCCAGCTACATGGCAGCAGACTGTAAATAATCGAGTCTGTACCAGACAATCCAGTGATCAACAACATTAGCATCGTTCTATGCAATTGGGATATGATAACACCTGACCCCCAGATCCCGTTAGTCACCTCTTACGACATGCATGGGTTGCTGAAGACCAATTCTAACCCGGATCTTCATGGGTACTTTGCTCATGTAGACAAAGCATTTAGCTGCTTTGAGCAAAATAAGTTGCAATACGATGCTTGGGACATGCATTTTATTGATACAGCATATGTAATAGGGTGTGAAGGCATCCCACAGATGACCTTACTTTGGGGACAAACTCATAAATTACAGTGCCCTACCTTGTCGAGGCTGTTTGTCTGTTTCTTCCCATAGAAGTGATACTTGAACCTCTTCTTCAGTGGCTTCAGCATCAGCTGGAGGGGCAGGATGAGGGGCTTCAGCCCCGGGATATTCAGCAGGGTGGGGCTCGACACTTGGGTCTCGATAGAGATGGTGTCACTACTAGGGTCAAGGAAACTGTCACTCAACATTGTATTCAGGCAGTTGGGACAGAGTAGGGCTTCAAAACTGTTTTCGTAATTCTCCACCAACATCACAACAAGGGTTTTAAAAATTGAGCTTCACACACTGTACACTTGATTGACTGAACCGTGGTCTTTTAACTGGATATTAGAATGGTGTAATAGTTAACAATTTATAAAAAAAAAATAAATCAATTCTTGTATTACCATTTATCTTTTGTTTATATAATGTATGTTCATGAAAGAAACTACAGCAAACATGGTTTTACTAACAGGAAACTTAGAGTCAAGCATCTGTCACTGACTTCCAGCAATATTGCTGTCTGTACCAATCACAACAATGGGCAAAGGGAGATAATTTACATAGTAAATTTACCAATGTTCAGCAATATGCACAAAAAGGATACGGTAGGACAAGTTGTAAGAGTTGCTTGAAGAGCGACTGCATTCTTGACTTCATCTCAGTTGCATTTGCAACAATAGGTGCTTTAATAGTTGATGCTACCAGTGGCCATCGCATTGCCTTCAGAACATCCTCAAATTCCCTTTGTAATCAAAATATTACAATCAGTGTATTGTTCATGCAACAGAGGTCAAACAACATTTTAAGTCAACAAATATGTAAGAGACAGAACATATATGCATTACTTAACGGCATAACTGAAAGAAATTTAACTTTGAGTTGAGTTCAGCAATATACCAGCTATATGGTGGCAGTCTGGCTGGTGCTTGGTTTGTTGTTTAACGCTGCACTCAGCAATATTCCAGCTATAAGGCGGCGGTCTGTAAATAAATAGTCTGGACCAAACAATCCAGTGACCAACAGCAGGAGCATCAATCTACACATTTGGGATACAATGACATGTGTCAACCAAGTTAGTGAGTCATCTCTTACGACAAGTATGGGTTACTGAAGATCAATTCTAAACTGGATCTTCACGGGTGAGTGAGTGAGTGAGTTTAGTTTTACGCCGCACTCAGCAATATTCCAGCTATATGGCGGCGGTCTGTAAATAATCGAGTCTGGACCAGACAATCCAGTGACCAACAGCATGAGCATCGATCTGCGCAATTGGGAACCGATGACATGTGTCAATCAAGTCAGCGAAACTGACCACCCGATCCCGTTAGTCGCCTCTTACGACAAGATAGTCGCCTTTTTATGGCAAGCACATGGGTTGCTGAAGACCTATTCTACCCCGGATCTTCACGGGTTCTTCACGGGTGAAAGCAACTGAAGGATACAGAGAACTCTTCATAATTTATGTCTGTACATGAATGAATACTCTTCTAAAACATAGTCATAGTCATTCAAACAGCTTCAAATTGATCTTGGCAACTTTGTGATCAACTTATGGAATATGAATATACTGAAACATTCAATAGAAATGTATGACTATGTAGAATATGTCTAAACATGTGTAGAGTCAGACTTTTCAACATGTTCAATAACCATGATCTGGAACTGGAACAACTTGAATTACCAATATGACACAGATTTGCTTACGCTGCTATTTTATCCTTAAGTAACTTGTTCCAAAATAAGATTGTCTCCTTGGTGAACTGCACCAGGTTTTTGCACGAGGACTCCTCCAAACTGTCGTACAGGGCAGTCAGACTATTAAACACCTCCACTGCACTGCCCATAGACTCTGTGATTAGTGCAGCTTGTAACTGGGAGCTGAAAATGATGCCCCAAGGTTAATAAAGTTACTGTTTGGCAAATCTGAGCTTTACAGTCTGGACTCAAAACCTTTAAGTTTACTGGACTGAACTAGACTCCCAGGATCAATTTCTGAAGATATCATTGTCTTAAGGACTACAGATAGCTGAGCCTACTCGACTGAACAGAATTTGATATATATAGGCAGAGACTGTACTGTTATGTTTTATTTTATGAATAATTTTAGATTTCACAGAATTAAAGCCAAAATGTAGATCTGATTGTATGGTAAAAAAATCTTTAGAAAAGATGAATCTACATTTTTATTTGACTTCCTTGTTATTCTATTATCTGTTAACATGATCAAAATGCGTAAGAAGAGTCAATTAACATTACAGAAAAAAGGTGTAATATAACCTGCACTCTTCCACCTTTGCAACAATGCTAAGGTATTTGGTGTATTGTTCCAGCTCCTCCACCTGCTGAGTGAGTACTGTCAGCTCATCCAGCATGGGTTTGTGTACACGCAGATGGTCCAGAATATCATGCCTCACTGTTTCTTGATTCTCACCAACTTTCTTAATCTGTTTGCTGATAGTCTGAGCATTTTTGATTGCCTTAATTTCTGATGGAACTTCTGAACTGGCAAGTGAGACCTAAATCAATACAAAGTAAACAGGTCAATGCAATGACAATAAATGCAGTTGTTTTATTATGGATAGCAACTTCTTCGGTATACATACACAACATGTTCAGTTCTAATTATAGACTCTTCATATATAAATTAGTGTGATAATACCCCTAACCTGCAGACGTCCACGTTTGCAGCAATGAGGAGCTACATAGTAAATTGTTCAAGCATATGAATGATCAAGAGGTATCCCCAAAGTTCTTAAATGTGCATGTATAATATAGATGTTGCAATCCTTCAAAATTGTTGCTATCCTTCAAAAGTGTCTCCTTTTCTTAAACTTGTATGTCCATCTTCTAAATACCTATAATGATAAAATAATGAAGAAGATCACAATAGTTACTATGCATTAAAATTGTTGTCACTAAGCAAAACAACTGTACTGAAAATATACAGGGGATTTTATTGGGGCTTCTGATTATGTGATGATGTGAAATCGAAAGGGCGAAATATGGATAACGTTGAAGAAAACGAAACAAAAACCTTCTTTTCCAAAGACTCTTTCTTTGCCCGGGTCTCTTCGTATAGTTGTTTGGCATTAAATATCGTTCTGATGTTGTCAGTGAATTTGGAATTAATGTAGTTAACAACATGGTCATCCAATAATGAGGTTGACATCTCAGAGCTCATGGGGGCTGCCATGTTGGCAGTGATACTGGAGTTCCCTACTACTTTCTTTACTACTATTAATGCAATCGATGTCAGCATGAACTCTGGCAACAGGCAATATATATTCTTAATAACTAAAGTTGTGTACGGGTAAAAAAAAACTTCTTGATCACACTAAAAACAACAATATTACACTATACTCAGTCGTCACAAGTCGGATAATATTAAATTGCAGTATAACTGCATGTCTACCTAGTTTCCTTACTTAACTTTCCTGATTCCTCGTGGTGGCAGTTTATGATTCGCTTCATAGGGACGGGACAGTTTATCACTTTCCCACGTGGCTAATCAGTTAACTCCATTTACAACGTCTAGACAATATGTCACCAGTGTCTTGGCTACCTTACACTTGATCTGTACATACCAAATAGTCAACATTGGCGGATCCAGAGTGGTGGTGGTGGTGGTGGTGTGTGTGTGTGTGTGTGTGTGTGTGTGTGTGTTTTTCCCCGTATGGTGTGCCTTACTTCATCATCGGAGACGATGCCTTTCCACTCCGCCCTGGATGATGAAGTCCTTTTCCATGCGTCAGATGGACCCAGATCAGCAGATCTTCAACTGCAGGTAATTATTCTTTTCCATAAATACCTAAATCAAATTATAACTTAGTATCTTTGGGTGTATGCAATATTATATCAAAGGTTTTGAAGTTTGAATGCATTTGACTTTAAAATGTTTAATTTGTGACTTTTGCAGACTGTCTCGGGCCAGACGAGTGGTGGAGAATACCTTCGGGATTCTGGCTATGAGGTTCCAGATCTTCCTCGGCTCCCTAAATAGCACTGCAGACAGAGCTGAACAGATAACCCAGGCCTGCGTCACTTTACACAACATGCTGAGAACGAGGAACCGGAACAGTCAGATGAACCTCATAGACCGGGGAAATGAGGACTGTTCACTCACCCAAGGCGAGTGGCGCTCCTGCACACAGCTGCTTGATGGGGATAACCGGGCTGCGAGGAACGTTACCCCACTAGATGGCGCCAACCAAAGAAACTATTTGAAGGACTATTTCATCGGCCCAGGAGCTGTTCATTGGCAAGAGAAAATGATATCCATATGACTTTAAAATGTACTCTATTATGTAGGACTACTTCATTTACAAAGGATCTCTTGTTTGTTTTTTATTTACACTATTTAAAATTGGTAAATGCGGAAAAAACCACAATGAAAACTAACTATATACATGATGAACAAACCAAACTTTATTACAATCGTACAAGATGTATTTACATTTACACTTAGCAATGGATGGAAAATACAAAAAAAATATCAGATAAAAAAGCTTTTAAATCTTGTATTGGAAACTCATTTAAATAATCTGAAGGTAACATTTCACATCAGTATAAAGTGCTCATGACAATATATGAGTATCAAGTTCTACTTCTCAGTTTCACTGTCCTTGCTGAGAGTCCTGAAACATTGTGACTGATCCTCTGAGGTGTGTGTAGGGTCCAAGAGGCCGCTTGGCAGGTACAGAGATATACCTGCTGCAGCACTGGAGTCAAAGTTGGGGAAGATACCAGCCTGATCCGCTGCTTTGCGGCGTGTTGCAGAGGGTGGTGTGCTCAGGGTGGACCTCTGGGTGGCAGCAGGTTTGTGTGGAGATGATGTGCTACCACTGGCTGCCGTTTGGCTTTTATGAAGCATCTGGGAAGATGGCGACCATTTATGCGGTCGGCGCGGACTCGATTAGGTCGAGTTGAGGTCGAGATAGGTTGACTCACTTCGAGTGGGTCGATTCCAGGTTGAGTCCAAGTCGAGTCCAGTTCGAGTTGACCTTGACCTTCAACTCGACCAACTCGACCTAATGTCGACCTAAACTCGACCTATTCTCTACCTGGTCTCGACCCCATCTCGGACCGAAGGTCGAGGAGGAAGTCGGGGAAAATTTTTGACATGTCAAAAATTTTTCAAAAACTTGGTAGACCTGATTCGATCTGACTCGACCTGACTCGACCTAACTCGTTCTGAAACTCGACCAACTCGACCTTCAGGTCGAGAAGGTCGAGTAGCGTGAGGTCGGCACTGGGACCGCACCATTAGAAGTAAAACGCCGAGGTCGACTCTTCCCGTATGAGAGGCTGTTGTGTACCTAACATAAAATTTATGATTTTATTTGAATATTATCTGTTGGAAATCAATACACACAGACTAACCGGTATTTTTTCTAAATTAAGGCGAAACATAGAAGATTTTCCACGTTTGGTACAACTCATTTCAACCAGAACGTGTTGAAGAATGCAGGTTGTCAGTCATATTGAATGAGGTAAATTCGATAGTTGTTAATGTTCTAATTAATAAATAAAAAGTATTGATAGCATGAATATGCATAAAACATTAACGGATTCAAGTAGGCCTGAAGCTATGTACAGTATATATCATTTTTTATGTCTTTAGAAACGTGGATGTCGAATAAGATCAATCATTTACCACTAACTGTGTTATATGTCAAATATCGGGTAAATTATGAATACACAATTGTTTCTTCAACTTTTCGTGTTAGTGCCACCTTTGTCAACTCGGATTCAAGTGAAATTGTTTCGTTGACAATAGTTGTTAGGAATATACAATAATTGTTTTTCACGTACATTCTCGATCACGTGACTCGTTCCGAGATCAGTGTGAGACAGAATTTGATGGTAAGTGGAGGGAAAAACTAGCATGACAATTTTAGGAGAATCAGCTTCCCACATGTAATGAAATGTACCACTGTATCGACTTTGATAAAATTTCAACCCTTAGTTTGCTATTTGTGAAAATGTGTGTCCCGATTTATGTTCGGACAATATTTCAAAATTCACGAAAGCAGACGTCGGTCCATTATCTTGATTTTTTTAGTTGTGGGATGTCTCATTGAACAAGATATTTCATCTTCGTGGTATCTTCCAAAGAGAGAGAGAGCTAGTTCATTTTGAACACCGTTGGATCTTTTGAGGTTATACTTTAGTGTCTGGGCGAGACTCAATGGGTCGTACAAAGAAAGAATTTATTCAGACTTGACAGTCACGTTCTTTCCCGGATACATGGAGTTTACGTAATGTTCTGCAGAAACAATGACTGGTTATTCTCGTATTGACTTATTTAGGTAACGTCGTTTGATTTACTGTCTCTTTGATGGTAGGTAGGTATTCTTCAGGGGGACATTTGTCATTCATCGAAGAGAGACATGGGAAATGTCGGTCAACATTGTTTACCCTAATTATTCCAGCTATGTGACAGCAGCTTGTATGTAATGAGCCCAGGGCAGGCAAACCAGAGGTTGGGAGCATGAGCATTGATGCAGACTCTTGGGAAGGATGGGACATGGATAATGGCTCACACTATCAATCACTGGCTTTCATCTTCCATGACTCAGTCATTGGGCAGAGTTCAAAATTAAGGAGGGCCTTTGAGGTTTCCCCTGGTAGCTCTTTTCAGTCTAAATTCAGACCCTAAATTTTAATATCTTAAACATTTGGGTTATGAATTTCATTATTGTGTCCAAGTTTATGGGTAGCTGTTTTATAATTGGGCTTAAGACAACATTTCTTTGTAAATAAGTAGACTAATTCAGGGATGGAAATAACCCATTGCCCGACGTCCGAGTCCAGTGTTTTTTTCTGTCGGGCAAGCAAATTTATATGTCAAACTGTACCGGTGTCCAGTTGACTTTTCAATGGTAATTATGTTGTTTATTTAAAAAATCAGCAAGAAAACGGTCGGTATAGTGGAACAATTATCAGGGCAAGTGACTTTACATGTGCCACTGCAGTGTTCACGAATGATGTTTCAAAGTAACAGGACATTGGGTCCTGTAAGTTTAAGATGTCTGTCTGACCCATTGAAAATTCACAGGACCCATGGAATAAAATTTAACACACATTTCAGATTTAACATTTCTTATAATTTGCATTAAAATTATTAACAAACATAAGAAAAATTAAGATAAAATAAACAGCAAACAAGTGTCACATGTCACATATAACAACTTCAGTCAAAGTCATTGTGAAATATACAGTCAGACACTGGGGCTGGTGGGTTGTAGACTTCTATCGGACTGTTGGCGAATCTGCCGGATTTGTCAGAGGGTCAGACACTATTCGCGAACACTGCCACTGTACCGGAGTACACTATCTATTTTAAAGTTATTTCCACCCCTGTAATTAAGACAGTGCAGAAACCATTTAAATGATCCACCTTTCAGGTGTGGTCAACTGCAGAAAATGAAACCTTATTAACTTAAATTGATATCAGTATTCAATCAAGTTGACAAGAAACAAGTGCATGGTAAAGTGGGGTAATATTTTTATGAAAAACAAAGATGGGCAATTTCACATGGTGAGCCATGTAACTTCTTAGTGTTCTTTCATCACAGCATGGACTGTCAAGGATGCCTTTTTGGAAATATGTACATAGCATGCTGTGATTGAATTTGAGTACCAATTTGGCGATGTTTCACACTTGCAATTTGGTTTGCTGATCACCACACTCATGATAATAGGGAGACTCTGCCTTTGATTGTCCTATTGCAAGATTTTTTTCTGTTCCAAATTTGTGTCAATGAAAAATGACCTTAATTGCTAAACTGGTTATATTTTGTAGAAAAGAACACCATGTCAGGTTCAGGAATTGCGCTTGGTCGCCTAGCAGAAGAGAGGAAAGGTTGGAGAAAAGACCATCCATTCGTGAGTGATTAACTATTTGTTTTATGGGTTAACATTATAATAAACTAAGGATTTTGAACTCAACGTAAACAATGCTTCTCTTATATTTACACAGCAACTGTTTCCCAGGACCTATTGTTTCGGAGTGTATACATTTTTGAGGTTACGAATGTTGATATAACTGGAAGTACTAAGAACTAGTGTTGACATGAGTTCAAGCATGAAATATAATAACTATGAGTAGTGGGGTATGGGTTATTTCTTAGTCTTCTTTTTTAACATGGACCAATTTTAACCTGGATCTTTGCACATCAGCTATTTTATCACTTAACTATAAATGTGAAATTCTGAAAAAAGAATTTGTTTGGTAAAAAGCAACTTTCTCCTATTGCTGAATCAAGCGATATTGATCTGTAGTATTAATCAATGTTTGAAGTCAACATTGTACTGACAAGACATAATTTAAGTTAATTAATGAAAGAACAGTTCAGTGAAATATATTCTTTTTCATAGAGATCGTCCTTGAGGTACATATATGCATTTTCTGCGACTGAAAATGTCATGTGACAGTTGTATCAATGTTTTAATAAAAATATAGTACAATTAATAAGAATCTTTTTTACCTATTATACGGCCCCCACCACATGGAGTTACCTCCCTGCTACGCATGCGCAGCCAACCAGGTAAGCACCTAGGCCCGTATCATCATTCCTTCTGTCACTCAAGGGTTCACACATTCCGAGTTCCGAGTTACTAGCTGATTTACTTCTGTTGAGAAGTATGTCTGAGACTTCAACTACTGTATGTATGGTCTTTATTCATTCTTGAGAGAACCGTTTTATTGACTTTGCAGTCAGTTATTTCTCATTTATGTGACTTTGTATTAAATTTTTACACTAGCTTTCCCGTTGTTTACGCACATGTTGCTATTCCATTGCAGGAAGTTTAGCGTGCCACGTGGTTGAAATACTGCGTTATTAACCAAGTATTTCATGTCGCGTTGTCGCATTCACGTAATTTTCATTTTTTGTATGTGTATGTTTATGCTGCTGTGTTCCGCCGTTAGCTACATGCTTGTGTGTTTGCTTTCAGGCGTTTACTGGGTGTACTGTCTGCGGGCAGAATATCCCTAGAGCTGATAAGCATGACAAATGCTTGTGCTGTTTAGAGAAAGCAGGGCATAACCCTGAAATCTGCGAACTGTGTATGGCCTTTTCCCCCCGGACCCAGAAGAGACGGGCGGCTGATTTCCTTTTTTTATAAGGGAGGCGGGATGGGAACTGACCCAGGAGGTTCCCCCGTCCAAGGCCAAAAAGGCTAGGCAAGCTAAACCTAGTTCTTTGCATAAGTCACACTCTCAATCTCAATCCCAATCCAGTGGTTTTGATATGTCAATCATCACTCGGTTGTTTTAGCAGCATATGGACTCTGTGAAGTCCCTTGTTCATGAGTCTGTTGGAGGTCTCTGGCAGGAGTTCCTCACCCACTCTGAACAGGGGACCGAGAGAGTCCGGGGGTGGGATCGCCGAGCCCGGCTCGATCCCTTGGCCTGGAGGCGACTGTTGATCCTTTGCCTTTGGCTTCGGGTCCAGACGCCTCTGCTACCCCGGAGGGTGAGGGTTTGCTCCCAGCCCCCCTCTCGGTGCTGGAGCAGGGTCCGTTGAGGATTCCTGGGGTTCCGGTCCCTGCGCCACCCCTGAGCCAGTTCTGTCCGGGCTTCCTCCCGTGTCTCGGGACCGGGGTTTCTAGTATTGTTTCGGTTGCCGGAGCTGAGAGTTCCTTTGGCTCTTCCCTTCCTGCGGCGTCTCGGGTCCGGTAGCTGAGTCTATGGAGGTTGGGGAGGTTGAGGCGGATGGTACTTTCAGTTTCTCATCGGCTCTCCGGGAGGTTAGGAAACGTATTGCCCAGTATATACCCCAAGCCGCAGTGCCGGCATGTAGCTCGGACTCGTCTGAGTTCCACCTGCCGGGTGAGGCGTTTGCCCATAGGCAACCTTCGCAGACATAGCTCCTTCCATAGCATATCTTGCCTTCCCTGGTGCAGGACGTGATGGATCCCCTCCTGGTTGGTTCATGCCTCCGGTTCGATTTACCTGAACTCGTTAAAAGGTATCAGCTGGGGGATGATTCTGTTCTTTGTGCCGGTGGTTGACAAGTAAGTGTTCATTTCGGTCGCCCTCGGGGGAGGCTTGGCTTCCTCGGGTGCAGCCCCGGCTGCTAAGCAAGGGCGGTTAGTTCCACCGTTTGCCCTAGTGGGCGCCCCCCTGCAGCAGGCATACCAGACTTACGAGGAAGTCTACCGGAATGCCATGCAGCAGGTGCGGGTAGTGGTCCACAAGGCGTACCTTTCCTCTATCCAAAGGTCGGCTCTGGAGGCAGAAAGGAGCACTGTGGACGTTTCCCCGAATGTTGTTCTGCTCCGCCAATTATCCGAAGTACAGGCCCACCTGACGCGAGACTCTTTGCGGTCTGCCGCGTCTACGGTGATGTGCGCAGTCATGGGGATGCGCAAGCTGTGGCTGTCTACATCCCGTTATTCGGCAGCAACACAGCAGACCTGGCTGGCCCTTCAATTTCGGCTGGGAGCGACGTTGTTTCCGGGGGCACAGCAGGTCATTCGGGGGGCAGCTGCAGCAGCTGCCTCCTTCAAGGATTCTAAGGCCTTGTTGGAGCAACCGCGGGTTTCTCGCTCCTGTAGCGGATTCTTCTTCAGGGGCGCGGCCTACACCCGAGTGTGCCGGCTAGCTTTGGCCGCTGGGTAGAAGTAGGAGGAGGAGCAGTCCTGCCAAAGGTAAGGGCAAGGGGCAGGCTTCTTCCTCTGGCACCCAGCAGCCTTTTCACGGTCGCGGGGTCTGCCCCGACCTGTTAAACCTGCAGGCTGTTGCCGTGGGTCCGTCCCAGCCAGTTCATCTGCAGGGGACCACTCACACCCTCTTACCACATGTCCCAGTGGCGGGCCGCCTCTCTCTATTCCTGCTGGAGTGGGATGCGTATCTACATGTGCCAATTCATCCATCGTTCAAGCAGTACCTCCGGTTCTCTTACGACAGGATGTATTACCAATTCACGGTGCTCCCCTTGAGCATATGACCGCCTCCGTGGTGTAGTGGTTAGAGCGTCCGCCCGGTCCGCCCGGGTTCGATCCCTGACCGCGTCATACCAAAAGACATTAAAATATGGTACTTGTTGGTCCCTGCATGGCGCTCGGCATTAATGGGTACAACAAGGACTGGTCGGCTCGGAGTCATGCTTCACTGCGGTGTGGTATCTCAGTGGGCTAGCACTATAAAACCAGCTTAAGTCTGGGCTAGTACAAGCAGCCGCACATACACACGCATGCACGTTGTCATATGAGCGAAATATTCTCAAGCACGACGTTAAACCCACTTTCACCTCACCTCACCCTTTGGCATATGCACTGCCCCCAGGGTTTTCACCAAGCTCATGTTATTGCCGGCTACCCTCGCAAGGTCGCAAGGAAGGCATTGTTGAAGGCGCTCTAACTCAGCCAGCGAGCCTAGATTCTACCCACACGGTGATAGACATTCTAGTTTGACTGGGGTGGATCATAAACCTCAAGAAATCCGACCTGGTACCCACCCAGGACTTGTTTTTTCTCGGGGCGCGGTTCACAACTCGCAAGGGTCTTTTCTCTTTGTTGTCCGAACGGGTCACCAGAGTTAGGGAGATGGTGTCTTTGTTCCTCTCCCAGCCCCAGGCACCAGCGCGGTCTTGGCTCCGTCTACTGGGTCATATGGCGGCAACTATCTCTGTCGTGTGGCGGCCGCCATTGAGGATGCGCCCTATACAGCAAGCTTTGGCAAGTCTGTGGGCTCACTTGGAGGATCTGGAGAAGTGTCTCACAGTCCCTGGGTGGTTGTCTCCTCACCTTCAGTGGTGGACCAATGTCGGTATCTCTCCAAGGGGGTCCCTTTGGAAATCCCGTTGCCAGCTCTTAAAGTTCAAACCGATGCAACCCTCATGGGGTGTGTGTGTGTTCTGGGCAGTCTGTCGGTGTCTGCCGAAGCCCACCTTCACATCAACGTCTTAGAACTGACAGTTGTGTGGTTGGTTTTCGAGCGCTTCCGGGAGCATGTTCAGGGCCAGGTGGTTCGTCTTCAGTTGGACAACCGTACGGCCATGACGTACATCCTGAAGCAAGGCGGGAGACGTGGGAATTTCTCCTAGTGCGACTGTCAGGTGATTCCTGTTTATCTCCCGGGCCTGGAGAACATGCGAGCCGACGCCCTCTCTCGCCGGATCCTGGCCCCGCACGAGTGGATGCTCGATCGGCAGATATTTGGAGTTATCATTCGGGACGAATCCGATACCTGTGTTCTGCTCGCGAATACCGGACCAGAGGGCGTTGGCTTCCAACGCCTTCCTGCTGGATTGTACGGGCAAGGTGCTGTGGGCGTTTCCGCCTCTACCACTCATTCCCGGGTCTTCTCTCAGCTCTCCACCCAGCCAGCTCGGCTACTTGAGCTACTGGCACCGCTATGGCCATCACAGAGCTGGCAACCGGACCTTCTCACTCAGAACGGCACGCCATATCCCAATCCAAGCCTCTGTCAGGTCTAGCCTTGAAGCACGTGGAATTTCTGCAGCAGTTGCAGACACAATTCTAGCTTCGAGGTGGGATTTGATAAACGTTCAATATGAGGATAGGTGGTCCCGCTATGTGTGCTGGTGTTCCGATAGGGGGATTGCAGATCCCTTTTCTGCGGATTTAGTCCGAGTATTGGAGTTTTTGCAAGCTTGTTTTGAAGAAGGCTTGGTGGCTTTGACCATTCGTAGCTACTCCACCGCTATTTCCACTTTCCACACCCCTGTCGATGGTGCTCTTCTGGGGCAGCACCCTCTTATGCAGCGCTTTTTAGCTGGCGTGGAGCGGGATCGACCTGCTGTCAGGCGAACCAGCCCACTTTGGGATTTGTCAATCGTGCTAGATTGGCTGTCCGGTCCTACGTTCTCACGTCTATGGGCTATTTCCATTCAGCTGTTATTGTTAACATAGAAGGCCTTATTTCTGGTGGCGGTAACATCTGGGCGAAGGGTCGGCAACTTACATGCTATGTCGGCAGACCCGGCGCTGACTGTGTTCCATCCAGATCGTGTCAGTATTCGCCTCCCGGATACTTACCGTCCGAAAATCGATCATGCTTCCATGTGACAGCTCCTATCAAACTACTCTTACCCAGCCTCCCACATCGGGGACCTCTGCAACGAGCACTCACCCGTTGGATGTCCGTAAGACGCTCAAGGTCTATATCAAACGAACACAAGGGATCCGTACGGGTAACCATCTGTTCTGCTGTTACGGTTGCAGGAAGGCTGGCATGCCGGCTAGCAAACAGACCCTATCATGCTGGCTTGTATTGGCCATTTGTGCTGCTTATCAGGCTAAGGGCAAGCCTCCCCCTGAGGGGTTGAAGGCTCACTCGGTCAGGGCAGTGGCAGTGGCCAGGCTTTTGTATCGGCACTGCCCATTGAAGAGATATGCTCTGCCTCTATTTGGAGCAGGCCTAGCACTTTTATCAGGCACTATCAGCTTGATACACATTCTCATGATCGTGCCGTTTTGGCCGTTCTGTTCTCTTCAGTGCACAGTGTCCTGCCACCCTGACCGAGTGAGTCTTGGTTATCTGGACAGTTGACGCTGCTGTCAATTGTGTATAATTGATATATCCGCTGTTATCATATCTAACTACTTTCGATTTCTCTCAGGAGATTATGGTCGGTTGTGAGTTGGTTTTCCCCCTTATGGTGCTCTTTAATAGATTCACGATGTGGGCGGTTTTTTACTGTTGCACTGTGTGTGCTTTGTCTCGCTTAACCTGTGAGGTCGGGTCTCAGAACTTTCCTCCCTGTCACTTACCCTCCCATCATGCCTCTCGCGGAAGCTTCGGGACACGTGACAGGTAAGTGTTGTGGCGTAGGTTACATTCTTCCTAACGATCGCTATTTATGTGTACTTTGACAGAATCCCCTCCTCCCTAGCCTCCGGTCTTTGGGAGTCTGAGTTAACACATATACGTACCCCAAGGACGATCTCTATGAAAAAGAATTAGCTAAACCGGTAGAGGTTTCCAATTCGTTGAAGAGAATCGTCCTTGGGGTAGGGCCCCCACCTCCCCGCAATTCTGTTCACTGATTTATTCAGCAGAGGGAATGATGATACGGGCCTAGGTGCTTACCTGGTTGGCTGCGCATGCATAGCAGGGAGGTAACTCCACGTGGTGGGGGGCGTATAATAGATAAAAAAAATATTTTTATTTATTGTACAATATTTTTATTAAAACTTTGATACAACTGTCACATGACATTTCCAGCCGCAGAAAATGCATATATGTACCCCAAGGACGATTCTCTTCAAAGAATTTGAAACCTCTACAGGTTTAGCTAAATTTATAATGAAGTTAAGTAAAAAAAAAAAAAATTATACAGTGTCCTGTAAGTTGTTGATATGGTTCAGGCCATTGATGTTGTGTAAATGTTTGTTAATCTGTTGTATTTTGCTCTAGGGTTTTGTTGCCAAGCCAGTAAAGAATGCCGATGGTACAATGAATTTGCTGAACTGGGAATGTAAGATCCCAGGAAAGAAAGGGGTATGTAGCAAATATATTATCATGATTCACGGCATAGTTTTAATCACTGGAATTATCAGTTTACCCTCTCACACTTTGGATGGTAGTGTTATCAAGTTGACGAGTCTGGAAACACTTTTCTCAGTACTTTGCATATCAGTTTTTAAGAACTGGTTCTGTAATCTCAGTGGAATCAGGAGGTATTTCACTTACCCTCAAAATTCACTCAAGTCCATGTAAATAGATTAGTCTGAGGACAAGTACAAATACAGTGATAGTTTGTTTTATTGACAGTAGCAATTAAGGACTGTAGTTCTAAACCTGTTCTTGAAGTGTCAGTTTTGATGGTATGTGACATGACACACATATGGTCTCACCTCATGCAAGTGTGTTTATTCATGAACCGCTCTGTTAACCCAGCAGTGAATGGGTACCTGGTGGGATAAGTCGTGACTGTTAACCTTCTAGCGCCTCACAGGCAGCTAGGATTATCCGGGATAATAATGTGTTACGCACTTTTAGTGCACATGTGCGTGGAAACAGGCGTTTTATAAACGGCCACTATTATTTGGTAGTGTGAGATCCCAGGCGAACTTAAAGCTCCAAAAAGTTCTATTTACAAAAGAGACGACTGAAATAACTGAAAGTCGACATCTTCTAGCTTAATGCTGATAAGGCCAATAGCAATGATTATGGTAATGTGAATTGTCAAGATCAATTGTGCTGTACTGTTTCAGACACCATGGGAGAATGGACTTTACACACTGAGAATGCTTTTTTAAGGAGGACTACCCCAGTACACCCCCAAAATGTAAGTCTTGAGAGCCAGATGTCATACAATATACTGATTGCCTCTTTCACCAGAAAACACAGATGTTTGAATGTCTAATTACAAAAAGTAATTAGTTCTGTGACTCGGGACTAAATATGGCAAAAGTGTTTATCTGATGGAGTTTGTTCTCGCATTGCAGGTAAATTTGAGCCTCCACTGTTCCACCCAAATGTGTATCCATCAGGAACAGTGTGTTTGTCATTACTGGATGAAGAGAAAGACTGGAGGCCTGCTGTTACAATAAAACAGGTACCCTAAAAACTGGCATCAGGGGTCTGTTGACATATCCTTTCTCTGAATCTGCACACTTAAAATACCAAAAATGTTGGGATCTGATACATGTATTGAGGTCTTGGATGTGTTAAGTACCGTATATGACCGTCTATAAGCTGAATTTGGAGGACCAAAAAAAGCAGTCTGTAGAAGGGGGTCGTCTTATCCATGGGTTACGCTTTCGTCAAACTTTTTTCCAGGGGTAAGAAAACATCGTATCACTTCGCGTGAACAAACAACAGAAGACGACTTTGTCAGTAGAGACGTCAAATTTGCAATTAAACATCACTAGACAAGATTATTTACCTTAAAAGTTATAAGTTGTTTTTGCTGGGCATTGTATTATTTGCATGGATTAAGATTACCGTGCGTATAGCAATCAGTCACACGCGTTCCGCATACACAAAGCACGGAATATAGCAATCAGCTGTGCACACGCTTTATGGCTGAACAAGTTCAAACATGCACAATAATATAACGGGACGAATTCTGACGCAGTCATCAGTAAAATATAATACAGAATACTATTATTTAACCCAAAGAAATATATCCTAGCATTGTGTAATAGTTTTTATGTAAAATATATATAATCAACACTAAGGTTATATGGACCCTCATGAACGTGGTAAGCACATGGAATGGGGTAAAATACGGAAGCCATTTAAATTCACACATTTTACCAATGTTACTGTAAACTAGCAGTCAATGGAAAACGAGGTGGTAATCAGTTCGTGATTGTTGAATTGGGTAAAATAAGCAAGCCAGTTTGTTGCTACAATAAATATGATATTTAGAGAAGCTATATTATGCATTTTCTGTCAACTACACTTTGTTTCGATCCGTGAGTAGACACAATATATATGACAGTGAATTCTTTGAATAATGTGGACCAAAGTTATAATTATTGGTAACTGCCAGTTGTCTGTGGTCTGTGTTTGCCGCGATTAGGACCCCATCGCGGGGGATAGACTTATGCACGAAACATACCATTTTGACACTGATTTTAAGGGTCAAGTTTGGGGGTCGTCTTATCCATGGGGTCGTCTTATAGACGGTCATATACAGTATTTGGATGGGTGATGCGGGTAAGGTATTAAAGACCTTCCTTAAACTATTAGGTTACCTTTTCAGACCAAAAATAACCAACACAGCTTTTGCGGTCTTTTTATCACATTCGTCACTCACTCTGCTGATCTTAAATAGTACACATACTGAGGAATGGAATGGGGCTTATTTTGCAGCATGTTTGTCTCTTTTTGGAATAATTAAGCAAGAATTAGGGGATTTGAGCAATATTAAGCTAAACCCAGAAGCAAAACTATTCAACCATGCATCTCAAAAACTGAGAACCTCCCCGCTCTGTTTTTACCTGAAATATGGCACATCATTGATAATCATTGTGAATTACTGAATCTGGTTTTACACTGCTTTTAGCAATATTCCATCTGTACAGCGTAAATCACAAAAATAAGCTGTGCTGCACAAAATGACAATATGCATTCATACATGTTTTCGCATGCAAATTTGTTTAAAATATAGAAATATGGTCTCTTAAAAGCCTAATGATAATATCCCAACAAGGCAGTGTCATGTGACTTCACATGTGGAGGTGGCATACAGGCATCCAAAATGCTTTAAGTCGCTGTGCAGAGTTGCTTCCCTTAGAAGTGTCAGAAACCTGTGCTCAAGGTATGAACCAATGTAGTCCATGTCTATGACCTGGTTTGCCTTGGTCTCTCCTTCATCATGAAACCAACACAGTATGTGAGACCTGGCCCCGATTTCTCGAAACAAACTTAAGCCTGAGTTTTGACTTAAGTTCGAGTTTTTACTCAAATAGAGAAAATGCATTTAGCAGAATGAACTGAAATTGATATTAAACTCAAACATACTAGACAATTTGAGTTTGGTGGATGGATTACGTAAGTTGTGTGGGCTTTTTTATTTTAAAAATGCAGTTGAGTTATAAATTCAGCTGTTTCAAATTGTCAAACTCAGTTTGAAATTTGAGTAAAAACTTAAGTTTGTTTCGAGAAATCGGGGCCTGAAGTACTGCTCAAAATGGTGGTAAACCAAATTAACTCTTTAACTCTTTTCGTGAAAAATTGTATGTCTATGTAAATCTGTTCCAGATACTCCTAGGGATTCAGGAGCTTCTGAATGAGCCGAATATCAAGGACCCTGCACAGGCTGAAGCATACACCATTTACTGGTAAGTTCCTGAATTTCTTTGAAAGTAGTCTGCAAAAATATAACAACTTGATTCTGGTCCATTGAAGTTGTTCTTAACAAACATGTTTGAAATGCATGGGGATTTAAATTTGGCTTATAGCAGACAATATTATTAATACAAATGTTATATCAAGAGTTAACTGTAAAGGAACTAGTAGGACTGATAAGCCATTAAGTTATTCCATCACCCCTTGCAGTAATTGGCATATTCTGGTTTGATTATCAATAATTCATGCTTTGTTAGATGTGATTACTGCAATAACTATGAATACAGCTTCATAGTTTTCTACAGATATTTATATGACATCAGCTACTGCTAAAAACAAAATATGTGCATGTGATGCTTCAATGAAATTTTCAGTGTAAATTCTTGAAATTTCTCCAATCGACAACACATTAACTTTTGAACTGAGGCAAACACACATATCCTTAATGATCTATCTATTATGTGGCCCAGCCATAGAGACCTTGTCTCATTTCACCAGATAGTAAATTTTATTATATCTGCTGAAGTACATGCTCAAACCCAACTTTTTACTGCTTATTCCATTCTTTTCTGTCATTGATGTAAAAGTAAACACATTTGCATCAGGCCAAATAACAAAAAAGTTGTGGTTCTGATTACACCTCTTTAAAATTTAGGGTAGGTTGGTAAGATTTCTTTTTCTTTTTTACATTTATTTTAGAAGGAAAGTGCAAACTAATAAAAAGAATTGTTTATTCAATCAAGCTTGCGGCCATCGTGTCGACTTTTTCTATCAGAATGATCGATATCCGTCTGTGCCGGGAATAAACAATGGTATCTGGATGCTTATTTTATTCATACTGCTTTAAAAAAATAGGGTCGGCACAAGAATACAAGGGTCGGTCTGGTAATCGGAACCACAACATTTTTTTTATTTGGCCTGATGAAAATGTGTTCAGTTGCAACAAATTTTGTTGCATCTTGACAGTTTCCACTTAATTATGATCACACTTATTGGAACTGCTTAAGTGGATGTACTATTTAAGTTCATGACACCTGTGGTATTTAATGTAAGAATATTGGACAGTCTCACTGACTTGGTTTATGCATGTTATCGTATCCTAATTGCACAGATTGGTGCTCATATTGTCTGCCAATGGATTGTCCTGGTACAGACTCGAATGTTTACAGACCTATGCCATATTGCTTGAAAATGTCTAAACAAACACGTCCAAGTGCATAAATCAATACATTTGACGTCAATCACAATTCTAAGCATCACCATCATGAAGCTTGAATTTTGCTGAGTGCAATGTTTGAATATAACTGCACTTTATGAACCTGTTAGAATCCTAATTTTCACTAAGGTCTGATATTGACACGCTACTCACTTTGAACTGAGGATTAATATATTTTTCAAATCTAGGTACCCATTTTAGTAGGTTTGTGAAAAAACCTAACACATTCGTGTTCTTCTGACTCTCCCTTAGCCCTTGTCATAAGTTTGGCGAGGTTGAAGACCTACATTCTACGAACATTTCATTTGTCCTTCTCCATTGAACTTTTGTGAATGTATGTTGCCATATAATGTGAATCCATCAGGCTTGCCAGTTGGTTCAGTGGGATGGATGTTGTCATGATATGAATGTGCAATACTGATTATTCTCAGTTTCAAAATTCAATTGAAAGATATTGTTCAGTGCCAAAAGTAAACACCAGCAACTGGCATACTTTGTTTTGGTGTACTTGTTAGTTTGTCAGTGTTGACGTTGGTGATTGATTTTGAAAATATTTTACAATCATTTAAAGGGACCACTGGAGATAAAAAATGTCCATACTTCTTCATACAGATAGCTTGGATAGTGCCCTAGCTTTGTCTATATCCATGACTATATATTTTTATAAAAAATTCAGTTAATGTTTTCATAGTAATGCATAATATATATATATAGTTTCCGAATCCAGCCTTCAGTAGTAGTAATGCTTAAACTGGTGTTTGACAATCCATTGAGGTATGTATTTTGGTTTTTAGTACCCTGTAAACTTCTCCCATCTGTTGCTCCTTAGGAGTTTTGAAATAACTTGGTTTTCTCTTTTGTTTACAGTAAGAATAGACAAGAGTATGAGAGGAGAGTCAGAGAACAGAGTGTACAGTTGAAGGACCCCAATGCGCAAATGTAACATTTATAACGTGAACTAACTTGGAACTCAACTGGTGAAATGACACGTGGTTTCTGCTTGGCTGCACAAGTTCCCTGTGTTTTATCAGTTGCTACATGTGCCCAAACAGACCTGCTGGGTCGACTGAATAATCATGAAGACATTGAAACTGTGTAGCCATCGATGAAGGACCGATCTTGGGTTCCCATATGGCATGCATAGTCTTACATTTCATTTCTCAAAACAGAGAGCTTTCTAGATATCTGTAATTATTTTACCAAAAAATAAAGTTTTTTTTTTTGAAAGGACGAAGATGGGAATGAATTTAAACAATCACTTCTTTTCATGAATAAATTTTTAATCATTGCTAGTCTTTGTTGCTGCAAGTCACATGGGAATATTGCTGGACACTGATTTCACATATGACATTGTCAGTTTCCTTTTCCAAACTGTTTATTTTTTGTATTATATTAGCATGAATCTGGCATTGAATTACAAAATAAGCTGCCTGATGTAAGTTGCCTAGATTTCTTTAGCTATGTCATGTTTCACAGGAAACAGCATGGCATTGTATATGTTACTGTCATGATACAGTTTTGCAAGTGAACTGATATGTTATTGAACATATATTCAATTATTCTGAGATGTTGGCCAGTGACATGCCTATAGGAATCCTCCATATCTGTGTAGCTGCATTCCTCTGATATAAGCCTCATTATGTATGGAGCATAATCACATTGGTTGGTATCACCTACACTGTGCTGTTTGTGGATCAGGTTGACGTTTTAGACATTTTCAAAACATTCTCATCAGTGACATTTCTCATCCTTCATTGTTGTATGGTTTTACACGTGTAACCACATGCTTTGAATGTTTTACGTGTATCATTCTCAGTGTTAGATACTAGTGCTCCTGTCCATTGACCCAGCCTTGCCCTGTACAGACATAGTGGCCTCGTTCCTATGTTGCAGTGCAGTGCTACACAAGTTACTGTAAATGGAATAATAAATTATTTCACAGGCACATCATACTGCCGTATTATGTTTTATTTTTCTATATTTCCTTTGGTTTGTGAGTCCATGGAAGAATCCAAGGGACTTAACATTGTGTTGCACACTTCAGGCACTGCAATCTGTCATGGTTGAACATAATCTGGTTTGTCTGTTCCAGGCTTAAATGTTGCTCTTCATAAGACACTTGAACACAAAGTCGTGTCCTTAGAAATGCATGAACCTCCAGTGGGTCTGATTCTTAGACTTGTCCTGTGATACTAGGGGTTGTCAGTACCCCTTACAGAGTTAACATCTGAAGCGGCAACATCTTGTACGGGCGGTGTGGTAGCCTAGTGGTTAAAGCGGCTGGCGCGTCACTTAAGACCCGGTTCAATCCCCACATGGGTACAATGTGTGAAGCCCATTTCTGGTGTCCCCCGCCGTGATGTTGCTGGAATATTGCTAAAAGCGGCGTAAAACCAAACTCAGTCAGTCAGTACCCCTTACACAGTTAACATCTGAAGCGGCAACATAAAAATTGTAACATGTGTTTCCACCACATTACAGAATGTGCAACATCATAACCCGAAGCATTGCCCATATTTTTATCCTGGTAGTGATGCAAGTCATCCTGGACAAATCAACTCAAGTGACAGTGTTGTCTTTAGCACTGGATAAACCAATACATTGTCAGTTTGGGTACCAGATCTGCAGTGATTATAGTTCCTCCAAATAAATAAATGACATTTTCTTCTAACATTTATGCCTAAACTCTGCTTTAGATGAATTAGTGTTTAAAACAAATTTAACACATATTGTTCACGAGTGTTGAAACCTTTTTTCTGCGTAATACGTAACATTTATTGACAAGTGTAACGGGTATATTGAGGTGTGTGGGTTACTTTGTGCAATGATCAGTTATCCCTCTCAAAATTATACCATGCGAGAAACTACTGTCATTCACAAGTTGCACAGATGTGAACTGCCTTATCTAACTTGCACAAATAACTACATGCTGTTGGATATGCCTTGTAGCATGATTGTGAGTTGAACTTAGCTTCCCAGGGGACGGTTTCTCAACATGTTTGCTGGACCAGTAACAAGAGGTATAGGTCAATATGTAATTGGTGGCTGTTCCTTGGTGCTGTAAGAGTTTTAGAACTTATCAAGAAAGGAAAGTTTGTTACAAACAAGGTTCTACCAAAGATGGTCCAGTCCAGTCTGATGAGATGCATCAGGTTTCAGAGAGTTGCATCCCAAGGACAGTCAATCTTCAATGTTATTCACAACTGACTCATGATAATATTCTATTTCAGGAAAGAGTCAATTAATTGCATCTATATATCCATTTCAACATTGCCCTAAGACATACCACTGTTGAGGTGTCAATACCTTTAGTTATGACAGCAAATATACCAATAAATATGAATAACAGATTTAAGACACTTGTAGTTAAAACAATTACTTTCAGTCAACTTGACTAAGCAAGACAACTATTTAACCATACTTATTTAAAACAAGGCACACATACCCAATTTTTGAAGCTTGCATAATTACTGCACGTGTGAGTACTTAATATGGTATAACATTGCAAACACTGATCGAAGACACGGAACAAACTGACAAAGGTCAAGGTCATCGATGTAGAAGTGGGTCCTCCATTATGTCAATGATAGAAATGGTTTTGGAACATGCTGGAGAATGTTGCCCTACTTTACATTTAATGCATACAAGCTTTACAAGCTCTTGTTGAGGAGTACACTGTTGTACTCCATGATCCAACCTGTCCTTCAGGTGTTTTCTATCAGGTTTGAATCTGGTGTATCAGAGGATCACAGGAAGACATACTTTGTGTTGGCATTCAATGATGCCGTTACAGTTTGTACAGGCAGTGGTTCACCATTTTACCCAGTGATTCAACCTGTCCTGTAGATGTTCTTTCTGATTCAAATCCGGCAGGAAGATGTGTACATTGTGCTTCTCTGGGTATGCTGCTGAGGTGGTCTGACATTGTTTTGAAAGACAGCTTTAGCATGCTTTATAATGGGAACAATTTCTTGGATTCCATCACAGTAACTTGCATTTGGAACAGATTTGAGCGTCAGAGATTTATGCCCTCATCATCATGTTGCCACGTCCAAATCCATAAATCCCTGTATGCAGTTGGCAGTAAAATATTCATGTTTGGACATTCTGATTAGGCCATACACTGCGTATTTGCGATGTATGAAGGTACTCCTTTGGTTGGCCTTTAGACCTGACTCATGAAGGAATTTCACACTGTGTTTAAAGTGTTTGCTTGTCATTCCGAAACCCAGTTCCGATTCCCCACATGGTTACAATGTGTGAGGCTCATTTTTGGTGGCACACCTGACATTGCTATTCTATTGTGCATCATTTAGACTTGGTTGAAGGGCTGCTTACGAATGAGTACCCTCCACCTTTCATGGGCCTGTTATTTGATGTTTCATGTGCAGAACATGTGCTGATATTCTGCTAAGAGGTCACTGGTGGCTTAGTCATCTAAGGCACTATTATTTGCTGTGCAAAGTTGCATCCCTTCAGTATGCTGGAGGAGCGGTGGGGTAGCCTAGTGGTTAAAGTGTTGGCTCATCACGCCGAAGACCCGGGTTCGAATCCCCACATGGGTACATTGTGTGAAGCCCATTTCTGGTGTCCCCCGCCGTGATGTTGCTGGAATATTGCTAAAAGGGGCGTAAAACCAAACTCAGTCAGTCAGTCAGTCATGGTAATGTAATATTTGGGTTGTTAATGAGATGCTGTCATTCCAACAATGACGTCATTATCGTGCATCACATATGTGTTAATGTATTTCTTTCTGTCGACTGCCTCCCTGGTGTAGCGGTTAGAGCGTCCGCCCAGGAGCAAGATCGCAGGTTCGATCCCCGGCTGTGTCACCCAAAGACATTAAAATATGGTACTTGTTGGTCCCTGCCTGGCGCTCGGCATTAATGGGTACAACAAGGCCTGGTCGGACTCTGCTCGGAGTCAAAATAATGTGTCTGAGTGGGGTATTCATGCTTAACTGCGGCATGGTATCTCAGTGAGCTAGCACTATAAAACCAGCTTAAGTCTGGGCTAGTACAAGCAGCCACACATACACACGCATGCAAGTCGTCATATGAGCGAAATATTCTTAAGTACAACGTTAAACTCCATTTCACCTCCCCTCACCTTTCTTTCTGTCACTTGTGCATTTATCTTTTTCGCTACTCGAAGTTCTTTTCGCTACTTCAAGTTTCTATCAAAAAGCTTGAAATTTCAACATTTTTCTCGCTATTTCAAGTTTCTGTCAAAAACTTGAAATTTCGAGCATTTTCACATTATTTCAATAAGTTTCTCGTTACTCGAAGTTCTTTTCTCAAGCATTCCAAGTTTCTATCAAAAAACTTGAAATTTCAAATATTTTCTGCGTTATTTCAAGTTTCTGTCAAAACTTGAAATTTGAGAAAGTATTTTCTCTCGCTATTTCAATAAATTTCTGGCTAGCTACCGTCGAAGTTCTTTTTCTCGTTACTTCAAGTTTCATCAAAAACTTGAAATTTCAAATATTTTCTCGTTATTTCAAGTTTCTATCAAAAACTTGAAATTTCGAAAGTATTTTCTCGCTATTTCAATAAGTTTCGCTTACTTCAATGGTTTCTAAGTTCTTTTCTCGTTTACCAAGTTTCAATCAAAACTTGAAATTTCAACATATTTTCTCTGCTACTCAAGTTTCTGTCAAAAACTCTTGAAATTTCGAAATATTTTCTCTGTTATTTCCAATAAATTTCTCGTTACTTTCGAGTTCTTTTCCTCGTTACTCAAGTTTCTATCAAAAACTTGAAATTTCAAATATTTTCTCGTTATTTCCAAGTTTCTGTCAAAAACTTTGAAATTTCTCGAAAGTATTTTCTCTATTTCAATAAGTTTCTCGCTACTTCGAAGTTCTTTTCTCGCTACTTCAAGTTTCTATCAAAAACTTGAAATTTCAATATTTTCTCGCTATTTCAAGTTTCTGTCAAAACTTGAAATTTCGAAAGTATTTTCTCGTTATTTCAATATAGTTTTCGGTTATTGAAGTTTTTTCTCGCTATTTCCAAGTTTCTGAAAGAAAGTTGAAGGAACGAAAAATACTCAAACAACGAAGGGACGCCCCTAAACTCGGGCGGGCGAAAGCTCGGTCAAAGTGGGCCAAGTATATAATTGGCTACAACATTGATTATCGAAAACCATGTCTACAATTCATTAATCCAGCTTACATCCATGGCAATATGGGCAGCAGGAAGCCACACACATGTGTCATAATAACCTTTATTACGAGTAAATCGCTTTAAAACTCAGGAAGACGAAAGTGGCCTGTGAAAGTGGCCAAGCAAGGTTACGCTCTAAAAGAGAAGTCGTTAAATGAAACAGGATTCAAAACGTGATAAATACTTCAGTCAATCCCTATATACATTTCTGTCGGCCTGCAAAGGATTTTACAAATACTACCTCAGTTCACTGTTCATCGATTTAAAGCATGCCCACAGGTAAATGATACTGATCTTTCTCCCACACTTTGACAATTGTTCGGTTCTGTTTGGCCCGGCCAAAAAGCTTCATAGATCTCACACACATGTATCTTGAATTTTGTTTAGATCCATAGATCAGTATTATATCTACCTTAATATAATTTTCAATGTTACAAAATGCCACATGTAAAGATTAAAGTGAAGCCCGCTTCTCCATTCCAAACATATCCAGCCTCTATCAAAAGTGTTAAGTCTCTGACTTGTCCCGGCCATATAATAAGAAACTTAAACATCACACATGGATCCTGAATTGTAGATATATCTCTAGTTATAGCTACCTAAACCCTCTTTTATGAAGTCTCAGATTGAAGTAATTTGAACGATCACGTTGCTCAAGCGGGCCCTTAGCCTCTCATTCTCCACATGTCACAAGTCATCGGACCACTGTCATATGAATCCCTTTTCTCATATTTGTTTGGTCTGTAGCGCTCCATGGCAAATATCAAACCGATACCCATCGAATG